GGATCTTCCGGTGAACCATTCCATGGTCCCCAGAGTACATTTTCCGAACACAACTCCGAATTTATTGTGATAAGACGTCTATTAGTGGTTTCAAAAAATCCGTTCTAGTAGGATCTGTTTCATGAATTGAACACTTTTACGGATGTTCCGGATATTATAGTGGACCATTCCGTAGTCCCCAGGGTCAAATTTTCGGTCATACTCCGAACTCATTCTGATAAGACGTATATGAGTGGTTTCAAAAAATCCGCGGAGCTCTAGGATCAGTTTCATGAATTGACCACTTTTACGGATGTTCCGGATCTTCCAGTGAACCATCCCGTGGTCCCCAGGGTCCATATTCCAGTCACAACTCCGAATTCATTCTGATAAGACATTTATGAGTGGTTTCGAAAAAGCCGTGGAGCTCTAGGATCATTTTCATGAATTGACCACTTTTACGGATGTTCCGGATCTTCCGATGAACCATCTCGTGGTCCCCAGGGCCCATATTCCAGTCACAACTCCGAATTAATTCTGATAAGACGTCTATGAGTGGTTTAAAAAAAACCGTGGAGATCTAGGATCAGTTTCATGAATTGACCACTTTTATGGATATTCTGGATCTTCTGGTGAACAATCCCGTGGTCCCAGAGTCCATATTCCAGTCACAACTCCGAATTAATTCTGATAAGACGTCTATGAGTGGTTTCGAAAAATCCGCGGAGCTCTAGGATCAGTTTCATGAATTGGCCACTTCTACGGATATTCCGGATCTTCCACAGGATCAGACTTGTGTCCTACCGGAAACTGAATCGTCCCAAAAAGTGGCCAACTTTCTGCTTAACAACTTCTCAAGAGACATCAGGAAGATATCTCTTCAAATTGCAGTACAATCAGTGTTTGGTCCCAATTAGCTCTTATCCCATATGCTACGTGTATTCGTTAATGCCGGATCGACCGTACTATAGGAATCCACTGGCATCAGTACTATAGGAATCCGGCAAGAACGAATCCGCACTATAGGAATCTTGACTGTACATAAATATTTGTTATGTAAGCTGTTACAGAAATGCCTTTGTCCAAAATTTTCTAATTGTTTCGACCTTCATATTTCTCAGACTTCGAGTTTTAAAATTTTTATTTCTAAATTGTATTTTTATTGCATGATTTTTCAATCAATTTCCATATGAGATCTTTAACTTCACGTAATTTTAAGTAAAATTATTACAATCAAACACCAAAAATTGGGTTGTAGATTTTTTGTACACTAAGGCCATCCCTAATAAAAAATACCATACACGAGCGATAACCCAAATGATTGAACTATTCAACAAATAGTTTGGATGATACCCCGAACACGTTGGAGGCAAACCAGCCTCAGGCTGAAAGCCTCCTCAATAAAGATAAATCAATCAATCAACCCCGACGTGTTAAGCAAATTAACCATAACATTTGTATTAGGGATTATAAAAAAATTCAAAGTTTTTATCCCCTGGCTGTCGTACGCGTACGCATACGCATTCGTACGAAAATGGGAATAGCACAAAACGGGAACGAAAACGGGAATGGGAAATTGCTTACGTTTCGAACGAATCCAGTTCGTACGAAAACGGGAATAGAGGTGTATATGTGATCGCGAGTGTTTTCTTTCGCTACGGTTCCCGACAATTCATAGCCATAAAATAAGCTTTGTAACAAAGTCCGAAACAGTAGTTTGTATCAAAACGGATGCACAAGGTGCGTTTGAAGGGTCCGAACGCTGTTAAACAATGTATTAAAAATATCAAAATTTTCCAGGAAAAAATATAACATGCACGAAACGAAAATCAATTATTTTTTTCGTGTGTTTCACTTATACATTTTTGCCAAAACATCAGCCTTATACATTCCATAAGACAAATCACATAGGTCCTACAAGAATGCATAAAAGATATGTGTGATCGCTTATACATTTCATTTGACACATGATCTTTATTAACTTTTTGCAAGGCGTCTGCTTATTAGTTGACTTATACATTTTATGAATAATCAGCAATAGAAATTTGCCAAAAGGTATAAGGAGATTTCTATCCGTGCCTTTACAGTGTTCACTCAGCTGTCGATAGAAGCAGGCCACTCTCGATGTGTGTCGCGCGATCATCTGTTTACTCGACAGCAACCATTATTCATTAGCAGTTCTTTCTTCGTAGACTTTGGAAAGCAACAGTTTCCTGATAAGTGTGAGAGTGCTGGAAGCGCTCTGTCCCCCGTTAGCGATACTGCCATACAATGCAACTACTTCTGATGGAGGAAGCGTATTGGATAGCGGAAGATAAACTTTTTTTATTATGTTGTAACTTTTTTTGTTTTAAGATGCATTGTAGAGTGAACAAGAATATTCGGCTTTGTAAAGTTAATTCGATTAAGCCTTATGAAATAATTTATAAACAAAAAATACTGCCGTTAGTCCATATTCATATTTTTTCCTCAAAACTAACACGAAAGGGCCAAAATAAAATAAAAAAGTAGAAGGGTCTGTGCCTAGGGGCACGAATGGAAGCTTGACGTAGGACCGCTAGTGGACGAACAAATATGAACATTTTGTTCTTTTAATTGATCAATCATCAATTATCTTAACTCTTTCTGTTTTTTTATTTGTAAGCGTATCAAATTTGTAGCGTAGTAAATTTGTAAATAAATTTCAAAATGAAAGTTGATGAAGAGAATCCAAGGGACTGTCAACTTGAGTATTTTTGATTCATCTACCCGACTTTAAAAGGTAAATTTAGAATTTTTTGTTATTTATAAATTTTTAAGTTTTGTGCATTTTGGTATTGAAGAGTATTCAATTAACCCCTCACAGGATTTCCTTCCGAATTATATGAATGGGGCGGGGTGGAAAGTATCGTTTGTGCAGAATATGTAAAAAAGGAGGGACTTCGAGAGATTGAACTCGTGAGAGCTAATTTTCTCACAAATTTGATTTTATTGGTTTTCTGGGGACTGAATATACACTAGACTGATGCAAAATTTGACTTTTTCGCTCCACAGTGCTTAAATGGTTTCAAATCGGGTCCTGATTAGCCTCCAAAAGTTACAACTCATTTGGTTAGAAACAGACTTCGCACAAGCCATTTGAAGTTTACATGTTAATTACTATGGGAAATCTCAACTTTTTGTTCATTGCTTTCTAGTCTTTTTCCATATTGAGCTGCGAAACGGTTCGATAGCTATTCTTAAAGAAAATTTTCTCAGCTACAACTTTGCTGAAGATCGTTTCTATGTAAAACGAGACAGGAAAAAGTTATTATTTATTTAAGAGATTGATAAACTTATGACATGATCAAGCAGCTGCTCTATAGGCAACACTGTATTTTGCAGTGTGACATAGTAGCCATGATTTTTGTGTCCTATTCAACGCCCCAGAAACACCAATGTTGCCTGCTGAGCAGTTGGTTGAGCATGATCATAAGACATCAGCGCATTGAACCATTGATAACTTTAGATCCTTGCATTTAATCAAAAAGTGTTCTTGAGCAAAGTTGTAGCTGGGAAAATTTCCTACAAGTACAGTTGAAAGCTTTGGAAGCAGACCGATATGGTGAATTATTAGATAGACATGAACAAAAATCTTGGTCTTACCATAGTAATTCCCATACAAACTTCATCAGGTTTGTGCCATCTCAGTTTCTCACCAAATGGGTTCAAATTTTGAGAGGTTAGTCAGGATCCGATTTGGAATCGTTTAAGTATTGTGGAGCGAAAAAGTCAAATTTTGCATCAGTCTAATATACACCCAAAGCGAATTATTCCCACTTCTCTCAAATTCTATAACACTTCCTACCAGCGTGTTCTGGAAAATGGTCAGACGATGATTAATCTCACCAATACATTCGGGCCTACAATTCCACACCTTCTATAGAGACCAGGTTGAGCCTTGTTAGCTAGATGTTTGTGGGAACTGATGACCTTGACCAATGTCCAAATAATACTTTTTAACAAATTTTTGGTGGCCCTGAAAAGGATCGTTTTGTAGTGTTGGTTGAGTAATTCTGAGCTGGGTGTTCAACACGGATGAGGCTGTCGAGTTGTATGTCGTTTGGAGCGAGGGTGACACGCATGGAATAGATGACCGACCTGCAGCGACTCACGAAGAGCTACTGATTCCGATCCATAGCATAGCGGTGCAGCTTCTTCCTCCTTTGATGGTTGCTTTTGTGGGCTCTGCAGCTCGCTGCTTGCAGGCAGCCTTTCGTTATTACTGGAGAACAATTTTCAACGCCACACGCCGAAAGCACTGCTACTGCTGCTACTTATTTCGACGACCGAACACCACCACACAGTGGTGTGGTCGTTGGGAGCGTGTGGTTCTGAGTATGGCGATGAGTGTGCAAAATATTACGCAATTCCATCCTCCCTATTCGCACGCGCCCGAGGATCGGAGGCGAATGCCACTTCGACTGGTTTCGTCTACTTACTACTCTCTGATGACTGTGCTGGGGAAGCAGCATATGCATGTAGGTAATTGGTGGATTTGTTAGTTAATACGGCGCTTTTGGACAATGCTGGACATTTACCAGTTTTTCAATAGTTTCTTGTTGAAAATCAACATTTGGAAGCATTGTGTAGCCATATTTCTGATCGATTGGTGATAAAATTATTAAAATTGGACCAGGGGCAGCTGAGTTATTAACGTTCAAAATCTTTCTTAATTTGTTACATGTTCCATTTTCGGTTTTCACAAAGTGTACCCCCATATAGAAGTCAAAGACGTAGTCCTACGTCAAAATATGAGCCTAATATTTTTCGACAAGGTACAAAATTATCAATTGTTACGAAATTCTATGATCCACTCTAACTTTTTTGTATGGAATTGCTGTATGATGAAGTCTGAGTGTTTTTTTTTTCTCAAAACGATGCTCTGGAATATGATGCATTCTTCTTGCAAAGAATCATCACTCAAGATATTCATTTACCCCTGACAATAACAGGTAAAGAAGTACCGAAGTTCTATATGATTTATTTTTATTATCTTACAGACGAATAACAACAGTCATGAAGATGGGATTGACTTCGTCGTTACTAAGGCGCCGTAATTGCTTTTTGGCTTTTATACTTGTGTCAATACCATCTACAATATTATTTCTAGTTGCTACAGGTAAGATATTCAATTTGTTTCCTTAATTTATAACTAATCCATTTTTGTTTTAAATTTTCTATAGACTTTTCTGCTGAACAAACTATGTCGCAAAGAGTTGCTGAATTTCAAATGCGTATGCAGTATCTTGAATCCATGTATCGCGCTAAGCAAGAAGATGTGGCAATTTTATCACAATACCTTGGATTTACTAATCAAAATGGAGAAATTTCCAATATGACGATAAATTTAAATCTACTAGATGGACTAAGCGCTGATTCACGATCTATGATTCGTAACGCAACCGCCTCTGCCAAGTTGCCTGCAAATTTGAAGCTACCAACGGCCTTTCATTTTTTACCACATTTGCTTGATGATCCTGCATCCTTGAGACCAGGCTATTTACAAACGAGGAATAGACAAGGTGTGTCTATAGTGCTTGGCATACCAACGGTCAAACGTGAAAAACAATCATATCTGGTGGAAACCGTAGACAATCTAATAGCCAACATGGATGAAGAGGAACAGAATGATACAATGATCGTGATTTTTATTGGAGAATCGGATTTAGATTACGTATCAAATGTTGCAAATAGCATCAATACAAGATTCCCAACATCTATTGAGAGTGGTTTCATAGAAATTATATCTCCGGCCGCAAGTTATTATCCTGATATGACCAAACTACGTCTAACTTTAAACGATTCAACCGAACGGGTAAAGTGGCGATCCAAACAGAACTTGGATTTTGTATACCTTATGGCTTACGCTCAACCCAAAGGTGCTTTCTATGTACAACTAGAGGATGATATACTCACCAAAAAGGGTTTCATAACAATAATGAAAAAATTTGCCTTAGAAAAAACTGCAAAGAAAGAACAGATTCAATGGTTTGTCTTGGACTTTTGCCAGCTAGGGTTCATTGGTGAGTAATCAAGTGAAATCATTTAATCAAACTTAAATTGTATTTGTAAATGTAAATACAATAATATATAAATATATATATACACTGGAGTCGGTTTTTACGCAGAGGAAGCGTGCCGCATAAAAATAATCGCGTATATTTCGAAATTCTAAAAATCATATATATTTGTTTATTGAAAAATTCCACTGACAATTATTGTCTAAATGAATAAAACTTAAAATAAATAGTTACGGTCAATGGTACGGAAAAGGCCAAATAACCGAAGCCGTCAGCTGATACATTGAAGTCGAACATATAAAAGAAGTTGTTGAATTGCCGGCTGATTGCTTGAATTGACTCGTGTTGTGTATAATTTCGGCGCCGTGGTTTCAAAAACAGAAAGTCACGTTGACGAAGAGGGCATACATATTTATCTGAGACAGCAGTGTTGGACAGTCAATGTCACCCATAAGCAGCTTTCCAGCGAACATAACTCGAGCGACCAACCGTCTCACCTGGTTCGATTCCCAGGAGACGGCAACGCTCCTTGTACGGTGGCAAGTTCGTTGGGTCACGCCAGTTGAGGAAACGAAGAGCATATCTCACAAACTTGCGTTGAACGGATTCAATTCTAGTGATCCAGCTGGCATGGAAAGGGCACCAAACAACTAAACTTGACTCCAATAAAGAACGCACAAGCGAGCAGTAAAGTGACCTGAGGCATAGCGGGTCACGGAACTCGTCGGCAATTTTGAAAATAAAGCCCAATTATCGATTAGCTCTGGAGATGATGTCATTGTAGTGGATTCTGAAAGTGAGTCTGCAGTGAGCTCTACACAAACAAGACAGCGCTCGTAGAGAACATATTCGTTTGACTGATTGGTTCGATTTTTCGGTGATAGGAAATAATGTTACATTTTTCGATGCTAAGACTCATCAAATTTCTTGAGCACCAGTCAGCAAAAATACCAACATATTCTAGAGATTTCAACAGTCCGAGAGACTTTTAATAATTTTCGTCTGCATAGAAAACGCGGGATCCTGATGGTATCAGAACGGCGACGTCGTTTAAAAAGATCGAAAACAGTAGCGGTCCTATTTAGGTTACTGAACTCCCGAGTTGTTTGAGAAAACATCCGATTCCGACGTGCCAATCTTAATCTGTACATAGCGATTCACCAAGTAAGTTCTGAACCAATCCACAGTAGTTGACGAGACACCAAGTATCTCCAGCTTGGCAAGCAAGATATTATGGTCCACCGTGTCAAATGCAGCTTTTAGATCCATATACGCAGCATCGATTTGGATCCTGAATCCATGCATCGCAAACAGTTAAAAGTAAACTGCACCAGGTTCATGGACACGGAGCGCTTCGGGTAAAAGCCGTGTTGTTCTGTATCGATATAATTTTTGCAGCACGCGAACAGAGCATCATTTATAATAGTCTAGAACAGTTTTGAGCAGGCACACAGGTAGGTGATTCCACGATAATTTGCGACATTCTTTTTATCTCCTTTTTTGTAGACTGGGAACAGATAAGAAAGTTTCCAGCGGCAGGGGAACTCACATTGCTGTGCCGAGAGATTGAATAGCCTCGCAAGTGGAAGGCAGAGATTGGCTACACAACGTTTTAGAACTGATGACGGAATGCCGTCAGATCCGGCGGCGAACAAGAGCTTTAGTTTGCATGTTGCGGCTATCACCATATCTTCTGAAATGCGCGAAATATCGAAACTAAACACATCACGTGGCATCTCAACAGTAGCGTCCAGCATTTGTGTCGGCAAAGCAGAGAAATCATGGAACACTAGTTTGAAATGACGAGCAAACAAGTCGCATTTTCTTCTTTCGCTATTAGCCGAGTCATTCCCGAGAAACATGGAACAATGCAAACCCGGATTCCTTCCGTTTGGAGTTGACAAACGACCAAAATCTTTTCGGATTTATGCGAAGGGTTCCCTTCCGTGCGTCTCACGTGTCGATTATAGAGAAAACGATTGTAATTTCGATAACTTCGACTCGCAAAATTTAACAATCGTTTGTAGTACGGCGAGCGAGAGTTACAATACTTTCGGAGGGCGGCAGAGCGTTGACGTTTTAGCACGCGTAGGCGTGGGTTAGACCATGAAGGCTTTTGTGGGGGTCATCGTGATGGGACAGTGCGGAAAATAGCATCTTCCAGTGCAGCACTGAAAAAATCCACAGTATCATTCACGCTAGCGGCTTTTTCGATAAATTGCCCATCAATTCCGCAAGCGCATTGTTCAATGCAACATAATCAGCTCGGCGAAAGTCCAAAGAGTAGCACTCAGATGAAGAGCGAGATGATCAGTGTCGCGACCGGCAAGGAAACAGAAGTGCCCGGTAATGCGAAATCATTTGCCAGCAAACGTCTATTTCGGTTCGGAAAAGTATTAGCTTGTGTGAACCCGTAAAAGTTAAAACCGTCCAAAAGAGCACATCAAGCAACCGGCATATGCGAACGCAGTGGATCAGTTAATGATATGCCACTGTCTGTAAAGCGCCACTGCAAACCAGCTTGATTGTAGTCGTCAAATACGAAAGCGGGAGAGCAAGGACTTAATTGAGAAGAAATCGAGCCTAAAGATTCCACATGCTCACGGATGATCGTGCAGTCGTTTTTGTGGTCGGGAGCAGTAGATTGCGCTTACACGAATCTTGATTTGTGGAAGTTCTATGACAATCCACAGCTGTTCCACAGACTGGAAATGGGTGACGTACTTACGTAGCTGGCTAGTCTCGTTGATACTGCAATCAGGACTCCACCACCGCGCGATTTTATAATATAACACTTTTTTGATCAACTCTTAGCGAATAAAAGCAACTGTGCATGCTAAAAACCACGTGAATTCTGGAATCCACGTAAAAAACTAAAAAAATAAATCTATGCAGCGAATAAAGGCACCCGACCAGTTCCAGGTCAAATAAGATAATAAAAAAGAATAAACACTAATAATAATAATAATAATAATAATAATAATAAAGATTCCGCCTTCTCGATTTGCATGAAACTTTGCATAATATGTGTTATGCCATTTTGGATCTTTTAATTTGGCGTCATTTACATTTTTAGAGAAGTTCAGAATTATCTCACTACGCGGTTCTAGCACAAACGAAGTGACAGACGACTAACTGGCGAAGAAATCCATTAAAATAATGTGGTTCACTGTAATAGAATTTTCTTGGAAGCTTGTGCCATCAGCCACCAGATGGGTTAGTTTTTTTTTGTTTTGATTTGAACAAAGTTGATTTTGTGTACAATGATTCTTTGACAGTGTGCAAAGAGTGTATCATTTTGTCATTTTTTTTATGCATTTCAGTTTTGAGTAGAGTGAAAGAGATAGAACCAAAACATTCTAATACATTTGGTGAAAATACTGGTACAATCCAGTAGTAGTGTTGCCATGTGGTACAATCCAGTAGTAGTGGTGTTGCCATGTGGTACACTGAAAAATTGAAATAGCAGGTTAGTCACCAAAGTTTTCGAGCCGCTCCGTCTGTCACTTCGTTTGTGGTTCTAGTGTGCAAGCGAATTTCCTGAATATGATATATCTTGGGATCTTGGTCATATAGAAGGTCTCTGTCTTCGGCAAAGTTGTTCGGCAGGTCAAGCCCTATTTGTTGGTCGACAAAAATTCAATATTACGCGGTACTAGTGCAGAAGTGAATTTCCTAAATATTCTAAATGGGTTATTCCGTGCCAAGTGACCGAGAAAAACAAAATACAAAAAAATTGACCTCTTCCGATTTGGACCAAATTTGGAAGAGATGTTTATTTATTTTAACTTTTAAAATTCCAAATCCTTGGTCCAGGGGAGTATTTTCTATTGTTTTTGATTTTCATGAAAGCACTACTTTATATTTTCAATATCAACACTGATAAAATTTCAAAGATTGTTTTTATGTGTCCCACACATGATTTTTTGCAATGTGATCAACAAATGATATCTATGTGTAGGACACATAATTAATATTATTATTATTATTATTATTTATTTATGACACTTTACCACATTATTGTGTGGCATTCGTGTCAGGATAATTAATACTACAATAGATTACTCTAACTAATCAGATTTCATTGAACAAGTTACTAACCTATATTGCTTCTTCTTTATCGGTATTGTTAGCTAGTATCATGCATAGTGATCCGTCGATTCCGCAAGATTTCCTAGTTTGTTCATATCCTCTGCATTCCACTAGTATATGGTGAACTCATCAACTCATCAAATGTGAATGGGTAAGCCGGGTATGTCCTATTCTAATTCGAGTTAGGATTCGTTGTTCTGAGGCGCATTTTTGATCGTTGTATCTATCAGGTGTTGACTTAATTCGTCGCAATTGGGCCTGACTATGATGGCATTCCGATCCCCATACTGCCCAAATCCTACTTTTTATCGCATGTACAACATCTTGGGATGGTACCGGAATTTCGAGTTGCGGTTGGCTTCGTTCTTGTTTGGCCAGTTCGTCAGCTGTTTCGTTGCCAGCGATACCGGAATGGCCAGGGATCCAGCTAAACGTAATGTCTCGTTCCTCTATGTTTCTTTCGATGAACTGGGTGTTTGGACCGCCCTCCACTTAGTGCATCGAGGCAACTAGCAGAATCGGTTAGGATCAGGGTTTTTCTTGGTCTTGGATATTCGATACAGCTGTTTTCAGGGCAAATGCTTCGGCTGAGAATACGCTGCATATGTCAGGCAAGCCGAAACTAACGTTTGTGTTGTGCACAACTATTCCAGGTTGTTTTCTTTGAAGCCATCAGTATTTATCTGCTCGTGGTCGTGATAACGAGTAGTTATGAATTCCATAAACTTCGGTAGTACGATGTTCCTGTTTGCGCCTACTCTGATGTTGTTCCTAAGGTTGTTGTCAATTTTTGGGACTGGTGCATACCACTCTCTATCGGCAGCTCTTAGAATTCTGCATACATCTGGGAAACACCATGCGGTTGTTTCAAGAAGAAGTTTTTTTGCTCTTTTTGTCGAAGGATACTCGATTGCTTCATGGATTTTTTCCGTTAGTCGGACAGTTAGCTGACATATAAACGTTGGATAAGTGAAAGACGGAAGGGAGACAACCAGCCTCAGCCATTATAGAAATTATGGGGCTAGTTGGAAATGCACCAGATGCCTGGCGGACTACTTCATTGTAAGTGGGCCCTAGGATTCGTTCCATTGCTTCGATGTTGGTGCTCGTGATTCCCAGGCTATACAAAAGATTCGATAAGACCAGTGCTGATCCTATTCTAAGCAGAGTTGATCGATTACTCCTTTTGAGGCGATGTCCGAGTATTCGTAGAATGTTGATTCTCCTGCGACAGCTTTGTTTAGCGACTGCAAAGTGCCTTAAAAAAATTTACTTTGAGTCGAGTAGGACCCCAAGAATTGTCATACTTCTCACTAGTGGGATTGGAGATCTGTTGATTTTTATAGCCCGACCGCGTTTTCGGTGTCGAAGGTGGCAGACGCGAAGTTGTTTGGATTTGCTTGGAGCTATGGCAAAGCCAGTAGTTGCCCACTCAACAGCAGCTACAACAGCTTTTCTAAGAACCGTACGAATAGTTCCATGGTTGGTTCCTCTTGCTATGAGAATGACATCGTCTGCGTATAGGAGGATTTCAACTCCAGTTGGTATGACATTGAAAATTGACTGCATAGCTACGAGGAACAGAGTTACAGAAAGGATTGAGCCTTGTGGCACTCCGTTTTCAGCTTTTCTGATACTTGAGAGTGCTCCGTTGGCAGCTACTTGAAAGTATCTGTCAGTAAGAAAACTGGACAGGATATTCATCATTCGTCCAGAAATTTTCCATCCTGCTAATGTACATAATATGTTGGGTCTGTATGTTGTATCGTAGGCCTTCGATAAATCGAGGGATACGATTTCCACGTGTTCGTTTTCTTCAAGGCTGATAAGGGACTCACGCTTGGCGAGGTGCGAGTCAACGCCCTTGCCGGCACGAAAGGCATGTTGGCGTGGGTCCAATTTGCCTGTTGCCTCCAGTTCGGTAATGAGACGGCTTTTAACTATTCTTTCGAATAGTTTACCAAGGCAACTGAGCAGCGTTATTGGCCTGTATCCTTCGGGTTTACTGCGATCTGCATCTGGTTTTGGAATGGGGATTACAATCCCTTTTTTCCACTGCGCCGGGAAGCTACCACTATCCCATACTTGATTAAACAAATCCAAGAGGGAGATCTTTGCGGAGTATTGTAGATGTTGCAATAGAACATAGCTTATGTTATCGGCACCCGTGAAGGATCCTCCACGCCAATTAAGCACATCAGTTCATCAATGGTGAAATCTGATTTGTAACGTTTATGCATACTACACACTTAGATTTTGTTTCCGTGTTCGGTAAATTTTACCGAAATAAAAACAGCTGAACGTTCGGTAAAACTTTGACCTTCATTTTAAAGGCTATTGAATTTGAAAATAATATCAAAACATGATCAACCTTGTTTAAATGATCAAATCTTGTCATTTTAGTGGAGATTTAGTTTCAAAGTAGCTTAAAAGCAATTTAATTGAATTGCATAAATTTTACCGAAAAGTTCAGCTGTTCAGATTTTATTAAAAATACCGAAGTCGGCGATAATTTCTAAATGTGTAGGGCGTTGGTTGTTGAAAGCTGTATCTTTGTAACTTTTGTGTTTTTTTTCAGGGTTTTTCAGGGTAATGTGCATCTGACGATTTCATTTGATATTCGTCAGCCAATACATTCGCAATTTTTTTTGCATCGTTAGTGTGACCGGTTGAGAGGTTGAGAGTTATTGTATTGCAATGCCTTTTTCCCTGAAGAATGTTGATGCTATTCCATACTTGGCTGGCGGGAGTGGTCGGGTTAACACTTTCAACAAAGTTCTCCCAACTTGTTTGTTTGGCATCACGTATGGTTTTCCGACAGAACGACCGAGCTTCCTGAAACATTTTTAGAGCTGTGGTTTTCTGTGGGTCGTTATCGCTTAGCCGCCGGAGAGTTCGCAGTCGTTTACGTCTGGCTTTTATTGTCCTGTATTCCCTGTAGTTTTAGGGATGCTAGATTCAGCCGCATTAATAACAGTTTTTGTGAAATCATCTACTGTCTGGGTGGACCCGGAACGCAGAGATATACTAATGAGTTGTTCGTAAAGTTCCCAGTTGGCCTTTTCGAACATCCATTTTGTTCGACGTTTCGGTTCGTTTATGTTATTAATAGTATCTATCAAGCAAGATAGATGATCACTACTCGAGTAGTCTAGCAATGTTTTCCAGTTCAATTTATTTGCATGAGATATTGAGCAAATGGAGACATCAAGAGCCTGGGAGGCTCCTGTTGCAGGATCTATGCGAGTGTGACAGCCGTTGTTGAGAACAACCATGTCGTGTTGCACCACTAGATCCAAAATAGCTTCGCCACGTTTTTTTGTTTCGTATGAGGAGTTCTGCATCCTGCTTCCCCTGGTGGTGTGATGAGCGTTGAGATCACCTAATAGGAGGATTGGTTTCAGAACCTCCTTTATCAGTTCATTTAACCCTTTGGCTGCATTTCTATCTCTAGGTGGGAGGTATACTGAGGCGACTTTTATTGCCATTGGAGCGTACAATAGTACTACGACAGCTTGGATGTTAGCTCGATAGCTATCTGTTGAAAGGGAGCTCCTTTTTAATGGCTATCCCAGCACCTTGTCTGCCATGAGAGGAGCATTGACTCAGTAATAGCTCGTAATTGTTTCCCAGAAAATTTGTTCCTATTCTGAAGTTATCTGCATTCGTTTCTTGCAGACATATGACGACAGGTTGGTATTTTCCGATCAAAATCTGTAGTTCTTGTAGATGCGATCGGAGTCCGCATTTAATTGCAAAGGACGATGTTTTTCTGTGCAATCTGGTAGTATATGTTTCAGAAGCAGTTGAAGTTTGTGAGGGTGATTGTGGCACGGTGCTGTTCTGGTTAGAATCCACCTTAACTGATCTTGGGCATGGGGAATACTGGCTCAAGGTATTCGTAACTAGTGTCATCCATGTGCCCTCAATGATCCACCTCCGGATTTGTGTACGTTTGGTAATGGTCTTCTGTAGGCTTGGCGTGTACATCGGGTTCTGGATTGGTACGAGAGACAACAGTACTTGACTGATTTAAAAGTGGAAAATGTGTTGCAATACTTGCCCAAGGTTGCGAGCAAACCACGCCGACTGCCGCCAGAG